TGTGTCATGACTACCTGTCCGCTGTGTGGCAGATATCTATGTGTATAACTACCTGTCCTCTGTGTTGAAAGGAATTGAGAAAATGAGTTAAATTTAACAGTTCTTGAATTCAAAGTCTGATTCAACAGTTTTTTCAAAAACCTCAGAGATATTTGCACACAAAAACTTTTTTGATTATTGTTAGCAGTTTTACACGAGATTATCTATTCATTTGTTTAGAGTTACAGTTTGTGTTTTTATAATCAAAATCTCTATGAGTATCGATGACAATAACAATAATAGTAATTACGAAAAGCTAATAACTACTGAAAAATTTATCACAAAATCATGAACCGAGTGCTAAATATAATGAGACAGACGGGTGCGGGTCTATTGACCTAAAAACCAATTGACCTAAACTTAAATATCTTAATGACCAGTAAGTAAATATACCTGATGACCAGTGTAAAATGTTCCCCTTGACCTAACCTAACCTTACCTATCCTTACAATGGTCAAATGTCTATTGGTCATTAAGTTATTTAAGTTTAGGTCAATTTGCCAGTTCCCGTTCAGTCATTTGCACAGAATTTGGACCGATTCAAGGAATCGTATGAACATTGACTTAATTAAAGCAGAAATTTGTGAAAAGAATAATTTTCACTTACAATGTATTGAATTTAAATCTTATGTTAAATCTAACGACAAACTTATTAATTGCGTAAAATCTCAACAAAAATATGATTTTAAGAAATAAATATTCGTTTTATTAAATAAAAATAATTGTCCAGGAATTTGTCTAAATTTTTAAGTAAAAGTCCAGGATTCATTTTATTTTAGTTGGTCACAGAGTAATGAATACATTGGGAAATAATTGTTGAATATTGGGTACAAATAATTGTTTTGTTGTTATTTGTGTGCATTTTTGTTGTGATAAATGCCTGAGGGTTGGGTTCAACTCGTTGGGCGCCATGGCGTCCGTCAATCACCAGCACTTCCATGTCTACTATTACGATCACCCGATGCTGTTGGAGAGCCTCCCGGTGCGCGACAATAGGCTCACCGGTTGGCCGATCGAGACGTTTGTGT